TTGTATGTGAGTTTAGCTGCACATGCAGCACAATTCGCTTTTCTAACTTTCGTAGAAAATCCTCGTAAGTAAAAGAAAAAAAAAATAAATAAATACAAACAAACAAACAAAAAATATCGATAACTCAAATTCTTTTAATTATTTCAATTATCATTATTATTATTTTTTTTTCATTTTAGATATTGATAAAACTTACAATAAACCGACACCCCTCAATACCAAATTTCATATACCTAAGAATAATGAGAATAATGAAGAAATTTCATCTTCCTCTAATTCCTCATCACCTACAAGTATTGAATTTCAATCGAAACTTTCTGAAGGGTCAAGCACATCAGATTATTGGTTTCATCGAGATTTGATTGTTTTTAAAAATTTCGATCTATTACGTTCCAATGATATCTTTGTCGTTCTCGTGATAATTTATGCCATCGTTCCAATATTTATTACCAATGCATCGGAAAATGTGATCAAAATTTTTTTGATTGCTCAATGTTTGGCTTGGCGAATATTTCATTCTTATGGATTAGGTACAATCTTGTCTTTGCAAAGTAAAGAAAAATTCTTGACAAAACATTATATCAAGTTTGGTGGTACAGTAAGTGAAGCTTTTGCTAATTGGAAAAGGTAAATTAAATTTTTATATTATATTATATTATTATATTATTATATTATTTATTTATTTATTTATTTATTTATTTTATGATCATAAATTAATTATATATTTCTTTTTTTTTGTATAGCATATATAATCTTTCTTTATGTATGACATACGTGTCTTTTGTATTGGCCGCATGGAAAATGTATTATTTCCCTGATGATTGGACTTATGGCGCAGTATTGTTACGTCATACTTTAGGGGTGTTGTTAATAGCTTTACACGTTTGGACCTCGATTTCCGTATTTGAAGTTTTAGGTGATTTCGGGTGGTTCTATGGTGACTTTTTCCTTGATGATTACCCTATCACATTATATTATAATGGAATTTATCGATTCTTAAATAATCCGGAGAAATTAATTGGGCACGCGGCATTTTGGGGAATAAGTTTGATTGCCAATAGTTGGTTGATTTTCGGTTTGGCATTAGTTGCACAAATTTCAAATTTCTTATTCTTACAATATGTTGAGAGTCCTCATATGCAAAAACTTTATGGTGATAAGATTCGTAAGGAAGCTGGTTTAACCAAGACTATTAAACGTGTTACACTTCTTCCTGATAATGTACGAACCCAAATTGTTGAACGAGTCATTATGGAAGTTACAGAAACTATTGAAAAAGTTGTTGAAGAAACCACGGTAGTCGTCGAAGAATTTGTTGTGGCGGCAAGACCAAGGATACAAGAAATGGTTTTGGAAGCCAGAAATTTACTTCAAAGTCAAAGAGAGAGATTCATAATTAGGTATAGATATCATATATTTATTATATTTATTATATTTATCATACTTATTTTTCTAGGTTTAACACTCCCGCCGAATCTTATTACTATTTTTTTTTTTTAATTTATTAGTCGAGTCCCCAAAGATAGTGACAATTATGATCTCGAGAAATATTCAATCACAATAGTTCTACCTTCGGAAGGAGAATCGGGAGAATCGGAAGAATCAGATCACGATACAATTTCAAAACCTATTAATTTCGAACTTGGTATGCCAATAAAATTAATATGGACGGCACCAAAAAATCATTCACGATTAGATTGGATTGGAGTTTACAAGGTTACGGCGAATTCATCAAAAATGATAACAAGTGTCTCAAGCAAAGGACGATATGTATATGTTTCACCTGAAGAAGATGATGATGAAACGATTAATAGTTCAACAACATCAACAACAACAAATTGTAATGATACTTTGGAAAAAGGTGAAGTATGGTTTAAAGGGGACAAATTACCTTGGGAATTAGGTACTTATGAATTTAGGTATCATCATGATGATGGACATAAGGCGATGTTCGTTTCTCAACCATTCGAAATTACTGGTAAATTTTTTAATATTCTTATGAATATTATTATTATTATTATTATTATTATTATTTATTATTATTATTATTAATTATTATTACATTTTTAGTCAACACACCAAAATTTATTTCACAACTTCCCATAATTGAGAAAACGCTTTTAACATTAGTACAAAGGGCTCTTGAGTATGATGTAGAATTTATTCCACGTACTACAAATGATGATTATATATTAATGAAGGATTCCCATCCTTTACGAATTGTATACGGAATAAAGATGATTTTTGGTATAGATTTTACGTGGGAAGTTATTGCTGATGATGGGAATATTAGAAGATTAGCACGACGGGTATGTTTATATGATTTGATTTTATTTTATTTTATTTTTATTCATTCAGATATTTTTATTATTTATTTATTCATGTATTTTTTTTTTATTATTTATTCATTAGATATCTGGAGCACAACATGCATTAGAACCATTTTCTTCACATCAACGTAAGTATTCTAAAACATCATCCGTTAACGGGGATTCCGATGGGATAAATTATCCAGCATCACCAGTTTCAAGTGATAGTAATGATTCGTAAAGAGATTGTTATATATATATAAATTATATTCTATAAAAAATATATATATAAAAAATATAAAAAAATCTTCTTCTATAGTCAAGGTATAGAGGGAATTAACTGTACTGTATATATTTCATATACTTAATGTATATATTATTATTGTTATTATTATTATTTAAAATTCATCTTTATTTTTTTTTTTACTTGCATAATAAATTCATTTTTTGTTATTTATTCAAGTTCCATAATGATTATTTCTTAAATTTAAATTAATGAAGAAATTATACAAAGCAGTATTAAAATGTCGAGATTAATTCTACACCGATTTTATACTAATAAATTTAATCCTTCGACTAATATTTTAGGCAATGAATATAAGAATTAGAAGAACTTGTAATTTCCACGTAATTATTTGCTGCCAATTAATTAATTATTAAGGATAGTTTCTTTTTTTTTTTTAATTAATATAATTAATAAAGTTAATTGAAAGCATCTTTTAATGATGATGATTATCTAACTTTTTAGTAACAAACAAACATAACGTGACGTGTATACGGATTTTTTTTTTGGGTAGAGAATTTTTTGATGCGCACGTTACTGAAAAGTTTAAATCTCATATCAAGACAACAACAAAGGATTTTTTATTCGACGACATTTCAAGGTAGAAATATGTATAAAAGAGATTTAAATAGCATATTATCACTTAAGGAAGAATATAAGATAGGCGACCGTTTTAAAGCAAGTAGAAGAAGAAAACGTAAGAGAAAATAATAATAATATATTTTAAATAAGAATAAATTTTTGTTGTTGAAATTATAATAATTATAGAAATTGTAGAAAATTTACACTTGTTGAAAAAAGATTATCAAAAAAAAATGCTCCAAAAAATTTTTTTAATTTCATTTTAGCTTTCCATCCATATAATGAACAGTTCAACGAAAGAGTTTCTCTTATGTGAGCTATTATTAATATTAATATTATTTTATTTTTATTTTTATTTTTGTTATTTATATATATATATATATATATATTTTTGTCTAATTTTGATCAAAATCTTAGAAATATTTGAAATATCATAGTAATATCTATTTTTGTTTTTTATATTGTTTAATAAAGCCAAGCTGATATTACAACTTTAAAAGTCGATGCAATAGGTTAATGTTATATTCATTATATATGTATATATATATATATATTACTTTGCTTTTTTGTTTAAGATTTGATTGATAAAAATTATAAATATTGATTTTCATATTTAATAGTTAATGCTGCCAATGAAACACTTTTGGGTGGAGGTGGAGGTAACTGATCAGATTTGTAGTTAAATAGTTGTTTGATTATCAAATTATAAATAATTTTTAATAAAAATTTACCAAATATTTTCATGTCAATTGTAACAATAATAGTTGATGGAGCTATTCACAGGTTTATTATTATTATTATTATTATTATTATCATTGTTATTATAATTATTATTATTTATCTTGTCATTCATATTTAAAAATAATTATAATATAATATTATTAGAGCTGCGGGAACAAAACTTAAAGAAGAATGTATAGACTTAAATAGGAGGGGTGGATGCAGGACCGGAGTATGTTGATTTTTATTATTATTTGAAATTGGATTATTTGAAATAAATTTTTTATATTAATTTTATTATCTTGATTGATTGATTTTTTAGGATGCCAAAATAACAAGGGGTATGAATTATTCATTAATTTATTTTTGATGTTATGCATTTATATAATTTTATATAATTTTATATAATTTTATAAATAGGCGGTAGACTTCCAGCTGACTGTAAGTACAATTCTATGTTATTATTATTATAAATTATTTTTAAATTATTATCACAATCTTTCTTTGTGTTCATATTCTATATTTCATATATTTCACATATCAAATATTAGATGTAATTCACACTGTTGGACCAATTGGTGAACGAAAAGAACTTCTTGAAAGTGCATACAAAAGTTGTTTTGAAATCTTTTCTAAAAATCCCAGAGATCCTGATAGACATTTAAAGAGCATAGTAAGTTAATATTATTTATTATTTATATTATATTATTTATTATTATTTTTATTTGTCAAATTTATTTTATTAATATCATATATTAATTTTTTTCATATAAAGGTGTTTTCTAATATCAGTACAGGTAATTTTTTTAATTATGATAATAATTATGATGAATTATAATAAATTATAATAAATTATGATTATTTAATTCAATCAATCAATCAATCAATCAAAAAAAGGGGTTTACGGATATCCACGTTATCCAGCTGGACATGTAGCTTTGGAAACCACTTGGAAATGGTTGTCAGATCATAAAGATCTTAATCAGGTTGGTGTATCCTAAAAATTATAAAAATTATTATTATTATTATTATAACTTTAATATCCTTTTTTTTTTTTAATAATAACTTCATTTTTTTTTAATATAGGTTGATAGAATTATATTTTGTGTATTTGAAGATGAAAACAAAATTGTTTATGAAGATTTAATACCTTTATATTTTCCTCCTCCTCCTCTTCCTCCACCATCCGAATCTAAACAACAACAACAAAAAGAAGAAGGAAGTGAACAACAAGAACATAATAAAAAATTTAAAGGCTTAAAGAGTACTGTGTCTCCCTTGCCTAGGGAAGAAATTGGAAAAAATAAACTTAATGAAAAACAATCTGAAATTATATCTAATTCATTAAAACAAAAGGAAGAACGAGAGGAGGATACGCATAAAATGGGCGAACCAGAATCTTCAAACTTTCAAGGTCAAGATGGACGAGATGAAATGGATACGAGTCCGGATAATGTGGAGCCAGTGAGCTCAATTACGGAAAATTTTAAAAAAGATAATAAAGCACGAGATATCGAATCAGAATCTTCAAATTTACAAACTCAAGGAGATGAAATGGATACGGATAAGACAGAAAATCCTAAAAATGATAAGAAAGTTGAAGTACCAGAATCAGAATCTTCAAATTCACAAGCTCAAGAAGATGAAATGGATACAGATCTAGTAAGCTCAAATAATAATGTTGAAGTACTTGGTACTGAAGAGAATAGTTCCACCGACAATCAAGATAATTCCTCGGAATCTCAAGAGGAAATTAAAAGAAATGATTCTTCAGAACATAAAAATGATTCTCCAGAACATAAAAATGATTCTCCAGAACATAAAAACGATTCATCAAATATTAATATTTCATCTGTAATTACTGAAAAGGAAACGATTACTGAAAAGGAAACGATTACTGTAAAGGAAAAAATTACTGTAAAGGAAATCGAAGTGACTACTACAAAAGAAAGTGAAATAACTGTTGTAAAAGAAGAAAATGAGAAAGAAACAAATGAACTACCCAATTCTCCTGTTTCATTAAAAGATGAAACTGAATCTAAAAAAAATGATGTTATACCGGAAATCAGATCACAAGAAAATAATGTTGTACCGGAACCAATTTCTAAAGAATTTCACGCGAACCTATAAATAATAATAAATAACAATTAAAAATAACGACAATAAAAATAGTTTTAAAAAACAACAATAATAAATAAATAAATAAATATATATTATCCTTCCATAATTAAATATGATTCAATGTGATAAATAATAATCTAATATATGTTATATTTCCATTTTAATAATAACATCTTTTCAAAAGAATTAAAAAAAAATGTTTTTACTAATAATAATTTTTCATTAACAATATGCAATACAATACAATATAATACAATATGTAATAACAATCCAATATATCAAAATAATAATAAAACATTGAATATTTTCAATCATCAAAATAATCAAATCAAAGAAATTATTTTATTTTTATTAAATTTGTTAATAATAAATAAAAATAAAAAAATAAAATAAAAGTAATAATAATAATAATATTATTATTATTCACATCACAGGAATTGACATAATTGCTTCTTTGGCCTTTTTTTTCGCATCTAATAATTCTTCAATCATTTGAGTAGTCTTCTTGGTTAATTTCTTACTTTCCTCACTTGCTATAGATCTCAAATAATCTTCCACAGTTAACACCTTATTTTCTGACCTTTTTTTTAGAGGAATGGTGACCATGGTCTCGTGATTCTCCTGATAATTATTGTGATGATAATTGTCATAACTATTATTACTATTATTACTGAAATTTTTATTGATGAAATTATTATTATTATTGTTATTGAAATTATTGTTAAAATTGTCGTAATTATAATAATTATTATTATTATAATTACTAGTCTTTAATGGAAATGGTGTGATAGAAGAATATTTCCTTTCAGTGACACCACCCCAAAAAGCTTTTTCTTCATCTTCATCTTTATTATTAATAGTGCTTTTGGTACTAATCGAACTACTATTCGTATTAATCGAATTATTTTTTGTACTAATTGAATCGATCGTACTAATCGTATGAATTGAATTATTTTTTGTACTAATTTTATGAATTGAATTATTTTTTGTACTAATTTTATGAATTGAATTATTCGTCAATATTTCTTTTTTGGCAAATAATAATTTTTCATTTGGAAATAGAACATTTTCCACCACCAATGGTTCAATTTTGTAAGCCATCTTTTCGATAATTAAAGGCTCCCTTTTAAATAATTCTTGTTCAACTGCCAATACTTCATTTTTGATTTCAATCATTGACATTCCTTTATCATTTAAAGATTCATTATCACCACCATCATCATCATTATTATTATTGTTATTGTTGTTATTATTATCATCAGAATTTGTCTTAATCAAATTTTTTAAATTTTCGTTATTAAAATAATTAATCGGTTCTTCCGAAAATAACAATTCATTATTGACGATCTCAATCTTATTATTATTATTATTATCATCATGATTATTATTACTATTCCTATTACTATTTCGAATGCTATTTCGAGTTTTATTACTAATCATATTATTATTAACCATATTACTATTCCGAATACTATTTCGAATACTAAACCTGTTACTAATCCTATTATTATTATTATTATTATTATTATTATTATTATTATTATTATTATTATTATTAGGTTCATCAAATTTATCGTTTATCGTTGTTACTTCGATAAGTGGTTCATGAACAAATTCATATTCATAATCTCCAAGGCCCAAAAGTTCATAATTAAATTCTTCGATCACTAATTTTTCTTTCTCTATTTCTTTCACTACTACGACTTTTTCTACTTCTTTCACCACTTCTACCTTTTCTACTTCTTTCATCACTTCTTTATTTTCTACTTCTTTCACCACTTCTTTCTTTTCTACTTCTTTCATCACTTCTACCTTTTCTACTTCTTTCATCACTTCTACCTTTTCCATTTCTTTCACTACTTCTACTTCATTTACTGAATCCCTGTCTAATTGCATTTCTAAATTATTTTCCACTTCCTTTTCTTCGGATTCCTTTCCCAATTGCATTTCCAATTTATCCTCTACTTCCGGTTCATTTTCTAATTGCATTTCTACTTCATTTTCTTTCGGTTCTTTCTCTAATTGCATTTCGAATTGCATTTCCAATTGCATTTCTACTTCTGGTTGTTCCATTTGTTTCACTTCCACTTCTTTTTCTTTTTCTTTTCCTTTTTCTTCCTCCTTATCTTTTTTCGCTTCCTTTAATTCCTCTTCCAATTCTAGTTGAAACTGTTGTAATTGATTGATTTTATCTTCCTCTTTTCCAAAGTCCGTAAAATCATAACTTATAAAGTCTGATGAAAGGTCACTATCGATGTTATCGAAGAAGTTATCGAAGTTATCGAAGTTATCTATTGGTTGTGATTTTTTCTTTTTTTTTTTTGAATAATATAGTAATAATAATTATAATAATAATAATAATGAATGATTTAATGATTTAATAATATATTATTTTCGAGAAAAAAAAATTCGTCCAAGTATAAAACAAAATAAACATTACTCTGGTAAATTGTCTTGGACTATCACAAGGTTCATCTAATGTGAGGTGATCTACCATCTTGTCTAAAATCTCTATATCATCTTTTTCCTTTTCTTCAACTTTTTCATCATCCTTTCCTACTTTTCCTACTTTTCCATTCACCATTTCGATCTCCTTTTCGATCTTCTTTTCATGATCCTTTTCAATCTTCTTTTCATGATCCTTTTCAATCCTCTTTTCATGATCCTTTTCATGACTCTTTTCATCATTAATTTTCTGATTTCTAAACCTTTTTGTGAATTTTGAGATCATCTTTTCAGATCTCCTTTGTTTTTTTACTTTTGGAGTGAATTGGACAACGAAAGGACATGAAGGAAATCTTTTCTTATGTTCCTTCCTTTATAAAAAAAATAATAATTTAAAAAAAAAATTTTTTTTATTTTTAATTCAATTTATTTTTTAATTTATTTATTTTTATTTTTTTTATTATCAATTTTATTATTAATTTAATTTTATTATATATTAATTTAATTTTTATTATTATTTGAATAATTAATTTAATTTATTTACTTACATTGGATCATCCCTTTGTTCCCAATCACTTAAACATACTTCACAATATACGCACATTGCATTGTCTAATGATTCAATTGATGGAGCATAGATGAAACCAGCTCTGGACATCTGATATTATTTAAAAAATCAAAAGATCAATAAAATTAATTCAAAATGAAAAAATAATCTGGAAATCCAAAAACCACGTATAAAAATATTTTCATTACTATTAAATATTTCCTAAAAAAAAAAAAAAATACCTTTTTAACAGTTCCCAACCATCCCTTTTTTCCATCATGAGGCCACCAATCACCATAAGTCTTTACCCTTAATTCTTCCATTTTTTTGGAGGTAGGTAAAGTATCGATCTCATCCCAATCATCAAAAACTTCATCTTCCGAAACTTTTTTTAAGATACAACAAAATATTGCCCAAGGACATTCCGAAGAATGATAAATATGTTCTAAATTTGGATCATCAGTGGAATCCCATCCTTCCATGGATTTATGACATAAATAACAAATAACATTATCGGGTGATCGAGTTGCCGGATAAAAATAGAATCCTGCTCTAGCTAACTTTTTTTTTTATTCATTAAAAAATAAAAATACATACATATAGAGAGATATATATATCACATTAATGCTATTATCATTAACATTTTTAACATTGTTTCACCTTATTAACATTATTATTAATAATTAAAAAATAATTAAAAATAATTAAAAAAGAAAAAAAAACAAGTTTATTAAATAACAAACTGATTGAGGTGTTGCTTTGTATTCTTTATTCAAGTGCGGCCACTTTTTTTTCTTGTTGGTAAAAGAGTTTAAACGGTTTTCATAAATGTGCATATTCGCACTCATGATTACATAAAGATTATTAAATTATAATAATAATGATAATAAATAATATAATAATAATAATAATCGAGGGTTCTTCCTTTTTTAAAATAAAAAAGTAAAATAAAAAATAAAAAAAAAAAGATGATCAGATTTTTTATCAGGTTTACAGGTTTACAGGTTTACGCGTAAATTTTGCAATAGATCTAATCTATACGCGTGACCCGGACTGATCGGCGATTCACGTGTTTTACGCGAAAAAAATTTAAAGTTTGTAAGTATGCATAAAATTATCAAATTGTGTATAAAATGTATTGAATTGTACGATTTTTTATTATTGAACAATTAAAATACATCGGGGATCCCCGGACAGTGGAGAACAAGATCATTAATTATAGATGTATTGGTTGTATTCAATCTTCTGTAGCAATCTTTTGCATGTGTGTACATTATATTTAATAAAGTTATTCCCCTACGGCAAAAAAAAAAAAGGAAAGAAGAAGAGATAAGAAAGTACATCATTTAATTAAAAATTTCACGGACAATATTGCATAAATAATAAAGAATCTAAATATGAGAACTTTATATTAAAAACTTTATATTTATAATCAACCTTCAAGCACCCGGGAAGGTTCCGGAATGGCGGAGAGTCATGCGATTACCGAATTTGTAATTTCCTTGTTACATGTATATATATGTAAAGTTTAATTTCGGATTTTTATATAATGACTCCTGGTAGGTATAAAAAAAAATATTAATAATAATAAAAGTAAATAAATAAAAAAATAAATAAATAAAAATAAAATTTAAAATTTAATCAGGATATCGTAACTTATCGTAACTATGTATTATGTAATATCATATTATAATATTACACAAATAAACCAATATATTAAAATCAGTTCGAGATAGAAAAGTGATATTTACTTATTCAATTTATTCCTTCATCTTTAATTAATAATCTAATAATTAATTATTTATTTATTCCCAATTAATATATAATATTTATTTATTTATTTATCCCAATTAATATATAATATTTATTTATTTATTCGCAATATTTATTATTTATTTATTTATTTATTTACGGTTAACAGATTTTTTTTTCAAACAGACAGATTAAATATATTTTTAATGCGAAACAAACATGTAGCATCCGTAACAAAGAAAGTAAAAATAAGATGAAACAAAATAAATTAAATTAAGAGTGAGAGAATTAGATAAAGTAAAAAAAAAAAAGCAAGGGAGAGAATAGAAAGCACGTTACTTATCAATTATCTCACATGGATAGATAGATTATGCATTAATTCATTAATTAAATAATTGGATCCTTTTTTTTTCCTTTTTTTTTTAAAAAAAAAAAAAAATTATCATGGAAATTCTATTATTTTTATAATACTTCAATTAAATTTTTTATTATGTTAAATACTTTAATTAAGCTCAATTGAACAATTCATGCGTACGTGAAATCATTTATACGCATCGCATATAATCACTTAATACATGCATTTAACTACGTAATATACATAACAGAATTGCAAAACAGAATCATAAAATGTTCATAAAATATAGAATTCTCATAATTCTCATAAAATGCGCATCTAGAAAATCAAAAATCAAAAAATCAGTAAAGCAAGGATGATGATGAAAAATAAAATTCTAAGCAAGGATAATACTTGAAATAACAAGGAAGCAAAATTGATATTAAAATATATCGTACATATATTATCATATTATACAGCATATACACATTTATTACATTAATTACATATATGTTTATTATATTTATTAATATATTTATTATTTACTATTCACTATTAACTATTATGTACCATTTTCCTCTTATATAGATTCATAAATGGAATACAAGAAAACAAGAAGGACTTCTTTTTTGTCACGTTCAATCATATTAATATTATTATTCATATTAATTCATATATTCATTTATATATTATATATACACACAAACATATATAAATATGTATTATATATTCGATCTAATTCGTGAATAAATAATTCTTCCCATGAACACAAGGCAGATTCAAGAGTAATTATTTATTCTTTCTTTCCTTTTTTTTTTGATCTTATCAAATACCTTATATTTATTCATTCATATTTTAAAGTTTTGGTATTATTATTTCCTTTCATTCGTTCAAAGATAATCAAACACGTTACACTCATATGAATTAAAATACCGATAAATTTACACAGGTAATATACACATACGCGCGCGCACCAGGGGGAAAGTCTTAACGATATTTGGAATTTGGCGTAATAACCTTTTTTTCTTTTAATTACTTAATTTTATTCATTTATTGTAAAACACGCGTGAATCTTATTAATATAATTAGATTTCTCAATTTGTGAGGAATCAATCACACTACAAATCCAAATTCTCTTATTACCATCATTACCCCTAATATTAATATTATCATTCTCATCAAACACAAGGTATCCAACATTTTAATTCGATAAGCAAATCAACAAAAAAAAATAAATAAAACAATGAATTGACAAAAACAATAATATTAAAAAAAAAGGAGCCACTTTACACATCACACCAACTTAACAACTTTCATGAATTAATAATACAAAGAATTTTTATTATTATTAAGGTAATATTTAACAACAAGGTTTTTTTTAAAAATGGATCAAAGTTTTAAAAAATTTCAAAGCCATGTACGTACAAATATCACGAATTTACATATTTGGGGAAGAGTCAACATTTTCTTTTCGTTATATGGCATCATCAGCCTCCTGCTAAAATTAGTTAATTAGTTATATGTGGCTTAGGCAAAAGATTTGAACATATGAAAATTATTTTAGAAGATTCTTTAGAATTGTTCTAGAAGATTGCGAATATTTCCGTTTACAGTTAGTATATTTACATATATTGTAATATAATATAATATAAATATATTATTTAATAATATTATCATTAATTAATATATTAAAAAAAAAAAAAAGAGAGATGTAAAATCATGATTTAGAGTTTATAAAAAATGATCTAAAATTAGTTAAACCGATGTCTTAAGAACATTCCAAGAATCCTTTTTAAGATCAAATAAAGTAAATCTAAAAATAGAATAAGATTTTCTAAAGTTGTACATTGATTTGAACTAATTTTTGCCTTTTTCAATTAAAAACTTGTTCCAAATCTTGGTTATTTTTTATATTTTTTTGTATTACATTTTTTTTTTTGAACAATTATCGTGTTTACTAAATTATATTTTTTAATTATATACTTTTTTTTCATTTGAAATGTTGGATATATATCATTCGATCAGAATTTTTGTGACTAGAAAAGAGAAAAACAAGTAAAGACAAGTAGAATCAAGTAAAGACAAGTAAAAAAAAAAAAGAGTAAAGTTATTTATTTACTTTAATTTTCTTATATATAGCTAACTCGTGTGTTTATCTTTTATCTCTACTGTTTATTGTATTTTTACCGTTATATTTTTTTTTTATAACTACTGTATGAATAACCGAATATATACATATGTTACATGTAAAAGTTGTTTTGCGAGGAATTAAATTTTAATATTATTATCACTTCACACAATATCACATCAAACACACTTTCACTCTCACATAAAACACTTTCACATACTTTACACAAAGTGAGGAAAAATTATTTCACCAATATTATAAGTAGATAATATAATTACAGAATTTATATTTGTATTTATATTTATATTTTAAAATAAAAGAAAGGATGGGATGAGGTGGGATGATGATTATGTAATGATAATCAAAATGATGATGTTTGATCAAAGAAGAAGAAGAAGAAAAAGTAGAAGTAAATAAATGAAAAAAGAAGATGAAAAAGAAGATGATAATGAAAAATAAAAAGAGATGGTAAAGAAATTGTGCAATGAATAAAATAAATAAATAAATAAATAAATCAAAATAATATAAAACATGAAACATCATGAAACATCTACGCGATATTCCGTTAACATGTCTCAATACATCCCGAGTGTTATTTAAAAATGGTATCGTTTATATAGTGCATATATGCTATATATGTAACATATACACAATTATATATGACATACATATGTCATATACAAAATTACATATGGCATATATGCAATTATATAAAGCGTATATATAACACAAATATACTAATATATACTTATATAGACAATAAAAAATTTGCATATATGGAATATATAGTATTTTATGAATTATATAAATATGTACGAACAAGAGAGAGTGGAGGGGCGTATGTGCCAATGTTTATCATCTAATTTGATACTTCTATTTTATCTATATCATTTTGTTATGTATGAAAAGTTTAATGTGGGGGAGACTAAACATTAAGAATCCCATTGACATTTTTTTTTTTTAAAAAAAAAAAAAAAAAATTAAAATTAAAATTAAAAAAATAAATCTAATAATTCATTAAATCTGAATTTTTTTCTCAATTTATCATTTTTATTTTCCAATATCTCCTTAATTTCCCTAAATCTCCCTATCCCTTTATTTATTTAGCGAAGTTTTTTTTTTCCAAATGCTTTTTTTGAATCATCTGATCTGATAATTATATTTGATGTTCATAATCTTTTTTTCATAATAATAATCATCATCGCCATCATCATCATCATCATCATTATTTATTATTACAAAATTCGATTCTCGCGATTCTCGAGATTCTCGAGATTCTCGCTAAATTCGATTCCCCTTTTAAGAAACAAAACACAAACAACAATGATAATAAAAATAACGTAACAAGTAATTTTCATAAGATAATCAAAACGTTCATTCATATCTACCAAATTTAGCATTTATTTCATCAATTATTCATCATCACTTTTATTTCCTATTTTTATTCACCCATTATACTTATTATATTGATTTTTCTTGCCATTTTATTTTTTTCTCCTGTACGAATCTTTACCAGTCTACATGTATCTATTCTCCTCATTTTCCTTAAATTTTCCTTTTTATTTTTTGTCAAAAAAAAAAATAATAATAATAATACCTTTTTTGATAGGATTGATTCACCATATGTTTAGATATATATGATGTGTGTGTACGTCTTTACAATATAATATAGAATAAAGAGAAAAGAATAAGACTCGAGATCTTGAAAAACGAGATCTTCTAAAATGGGATCATAGGCATATCGCCTTTTCTTCTTAGATGGGATCATAGGCATATCGCTTTTTCTTCTTAGATGGGATCATAGGCATATCGCTTTTTTACTTTTTCTTCTATTTAATATTGCATATACTTTTTTTATGCTATTGATTTTCTAAAAAATCTTAACCCTTGAAGATTAAGTTTAAATGATTAAACTAATAAAGTTAATAAACTAATTTTATTCTAGGTATGCTTTTTAAAGTCAAAAAAGGATTGATTATCCTTTTTTTTATATGCTAAAATGTGATTGTGATTTTTTTGAAGGTACGTCTTTTTTTATATCCCGATCAAATTCTTTATTTTCACGAAATATATACGTGTATACATATTTAATTAATACAATACATATCAGTATATAATAATTTAATATGTAATTTAAAATTTTTAGACAAAAGATAAATGAAGATGAGATATTTTATAACAACATCAATAAATGCCAAAAAAAGAATGCCGAAAATAATAAAAATGGGAAAGAATGAAAATAGAATAATATCAGAATCACAATAATAAGAAAGAAAAGAAAACTAAATTTAGTATAAAGAATTAAGAAAAAAAAGAATAGAAAATGAGACAATCATTATTTTTACTGCAAAATTACGTTTCGCATTATGTCATTTCATATTCATTATATTCATTGAATGTTCTTTTTAGTACAAATCGAGATCCGTAAAAAAAAAAGTGCTTAAAGCATCTTTATTTATGCATTATTGTTGGGAGTATGGAATTTTAAAACGATCATAATATTTTTGATTGCATTCTTTTTTTTTCTTTGTTACTAACTCATTTCATTCCTTCATTCAAACATTTATCCATCCATCCATTCATTCATTCATTCATTCATAAGCTCATAAATTCCTGTATCATTCTAAAAATTCATTTTTTCATTTTCATTATAATTATAACAAATTAAATTAGTTATAAATTATTTATAATTATAACAAATTAAATTAATTATAGCTTATAACAAATTATAAATCATTTATAATTAAAGAATGTTCTAGTTCTTTGTAATATTTGTAAATTTCACGGAATATTCTATCGATGACATACATTAACACACATAAATTAACACATTAACACACACACACAACGCACCATAACACTACATACATTATTTTGTAAGTACATAAAATAAAATCCCCAGATAAATAATAATAATCGATAAATAATCCCAAAAAGTAAATTTTCAATCATAATCTATTTTTATCCACTGACATCTTTCTAACCAAACATTGCGACAAAGTTGCGTCGACAATCACAAATACAACAACAATAACAACAACAAAATCTATAAAAAATGTAATTCTTTATTTGCTGGATTTTGCATGTTGACTCCATATGGTTCATAACATACCATATTATGATTATAATGGGATTACGGGTGATGATTATGCATTATCTGTTGGTGTTATTTTAGTATTATTCGTTACTTGGTGCTATCATAACAATTTTTGACAAACATATCATAACAAACATAACCATTTAATAATAATAATAATAATAATAATAATAACAATAATAGATTTTTCGTTGGATTTTAAAAATAAGCTTTTTTATTTTATTTTTTTTATGAGTAATGCTATCAATGTTATCAATTTTACACCAAGATTGCAGGAATATTAAAGTTATTTTTATAAAAGGTAATTATAAATTTTCTTGTATCGTACATGTTCTTGTGTTCTTGGAAAATTAAATTATTATTTTTATATCGATAATTATAACAATTCCTATTATTATTCCTATAATTGTAAATAATTACATTCGGATTAACTTCGGAACAGTCTTTCGACATCATGAATACACAACATTTTAAGGATTTTAACAAATTTTTTCTTGTAAATTTAGATTTTTGGATTGGGACTTCTTTAATGAATTCTCATGATTGTGATCAATTGTGATTAATTTAATTATTATTGTTTATTAAGTACGTACATAATATTCATACAATATTAACGATTTCAAATGATAGAAAAAATTAAGATTAAAGTTTATTATTAACAATTTAACGAATAAATAATAAATTCTGAAAATGTGAATGAGAATGAATCAAGAATAAAAATAGAGAAAAAAAAATGAATAAAGTAAAAATGAATGAATGAATAAATAAATAATTGCGTTTATTGTTTATTCTTGTAAATAAAGAATTTAAATAAATAAAGAATAATTTCTCGATCATTATTAATTTTTTTTTTTGCTAATTATTTATTTTTAGAAAATCATCACAATACTTACCATGTGCTTGGTAGAAAATTTTAATAGTAACCCAAAATGTAAATAAAATGTGATTGAAAATTTTTTTTTAACTTCATTGAATAGTGAATATAATACGTTACTTGCAGTGTGACATTAGAATGAAATGATCATCAATTAAGGAAAAATTCAATGAAGTTTATAATCCACCAAATTTGGAAATATTCAAAAAAGTAAAATAAAAAAAAATGCCCCTCTTGGTTGTTCTACAAATATATAATTATAGTAAAATTATGCATTATTTATTTTTTAATTTATTTTAAATTAACTTTATTTTTACTTTACTTCATACTCTATTTTTTTACTTAATATACGAAAATGAACTCTTTGTAACTCAACTCTAATTCAAAAAATCAAATTAAAATCAAAATTAAAATGAAATTCAAAAGTTGTATGATTGTTATTCCCTTCCAAAAAAATATTCAAAAGAATTCGGCAGCATTTAATATGTGTGAATATATTAATTAATAATAATAATAATAATAATAATGTGTTGTGTAGAAGTAACCTAATAATAAATACTATTATTTTATGGTACCGAGTTATCTTTATTTTTATTTATTTATTTTTTTTAAAGATAAATTATGTAACTAAACTAATCTATTTTAGGTAAAATGGAAAGAAGAGCAAGTTTATTTTTAACTCAATCAATCACTACTCAATTAAACGAGTGATCGGATAATGTGAAAAAAAAAAATAAATAAATTTAGATTGGTATAGCCTTATTCGTATTCTGTTTTATTGAAAAAAAAGATTTAATGAGGCGTAAATAATGCAATAAAACGAAACAAACATACCGAATTTTACGGTTTTACAATTGTAAATCAAGCTCTAGATGATAATAATTTTCATTATCAATACTTATACGAAAACGCCAAAACTTATTTATATTTTTAAAATGTTTCTAGTTTTCGTTATATTCACATGGAGTCTTTACTTTCTCTTCTGTAATACATAAATAATTCTACAAAAAAAATTTTTTTTTTGTTCTTTTTTATTTATTTAATTTTTTTTTTTAGTATTTCTATTAATGATTTGTTTTAACTATATTTATTCTTGTACCAACTTATAATTTAAATCCGAGAGAAATGTCGCGTAAACATTCTTAAAAGATCTTTAAAATATTTATAAATAATATTTACGGAAATTCCACGAAAAAAAGAATACAATAGAAGAATTCAAGTAAAAAAATCAGGTTTATAATAAAATAAATCATAAAATTCTTTGTATTATGTGAAATATAATAATATTTTAATCACGTCGCTTTATCCCTTGTTTGTTTATCGTTTATCACGTTAATCACGTCGTTTATATATATATATACATAATATATATTTTCAGAGACATACAACTAATTAATTAATTAAATAATAACAATAATAATAACAATAATAACAATAATAATAACAATAATAACAATATTCATTCTAAATTTACAATTTCAGAATAAAGGATATATTCCTCCTCCCCCAATTTATGTAAAAATGTCTTATTAAATGTAAAGGTTCTCTCACATACTTTCTTTTTTTCTTACTTTTTTTTTATTATTACTCTTATCTCTTTATTTTATACTTTATTTACGAATAATTAATATTTATTATAATTATTATAATATCATTATTATAATATTATTGTTATGCTTATATAATCAGAGGCACATATATCTATTTTATATTTTTGGGTAGAATTAAAAATTTATTAAAAATACAAGTCTAACGTGTTACCAAAATTTTCTCGTTACAAAAAATTAATAATATCCATTTAAAGTAATATTGTTGTTTGAATAAGTCATATAATTCTTTGAGCACGAACATATACAACACACACACAATATATATATATAATTGTCCCTTTAAATAGAGAATAGTTATTAATTAAAATTGAAGGGGGGAATTTGTTTATTAGATATAAAAAAAGAGATCATTCTAATTTCTTTTTTTATAATCTTTATCTATAGTATACTGCATTTTTACTGAATAAACTATAATTTATACTGTATAACTTTGCCTCTTCTGTACTGTATAACTGTATATTTATTTTTATTTATTGTATTTATTGTATTTATTGTATTTATACTGTGTTTCTATTGTATTTTCAACTGTATTTTCAACTGTATGCTGAATATGATAGAATGTTCGCGTAATTTTTTCCATTCCTTCCATTTATGATTTCTATTTACAAGTATTAAAGTACTTAATGTTATTTGTACCAAAACAAATTCGGATCGAGTTTATTTATTAATGGTATTCTATCATAAAAAAAAACTAAAAATAACTGGCAGCGATTGAAACAATTCAAAAAACACAATTCAAAATACAATTCAAGACACAATTCTTTAAACCAAACCAATCAAATCAACTTTGAACAATTCAACCAGTTCATCGATTCAACCCTATTCAACTCGATTCAAGGAATCTTTATATTAAAATATTTAACGGTGAAACGTAAATAATGAATTTGTTTCTCTTCTAACTTATATAGCTATATTTATTTGCATTTAAATATCCATATACACTCGTTACATTTCATACATTCATACATTCATTCGTTCATTATGTATGCATCAGACGTCATGATGATTGCTCTTTGCCAAAGGTTCTTTGAAGGAATTTATTTCCTATTCCTTTCTGCCTTTCTGTCTCTCGGTCTCTCGTTCTCTTTTATTCCTGATTTAAATAAATATATATATCTATCTCTATGTGTATATATATATATAGGATATTCAGGATATTTATACATAATCTCTACATAATTATAATTATTCTCGATTTAGATAAGTTTAATAAAAAAATTTTTGATAAGCTTTATTTGGAATTTAATATACGCATATAACATAGTGATGATCATATATTTGATTATTATTATTATATTATCAGCATATATAAATGTTCAGATCAAATATATATATATATATTTATTTATTTCATTGATGCAAACAGTATATATTGAATGTATTGTATTGAGTAAAGTTAATATACAGTATGATTCATGTTATTATTGGCACATGAGTATGTGGCGACAGTGTGGCGGTTGACAAAAAAACTATAAAACATTGTTTAATCTTTGTACGAAAGTATTTTTTCAAGCCTAAAAAAAAAAAACTAAAAACTATTAAAAACGATTAACTATTTACTATTAAGTATTATGATCAACACGAGAAAAACCCTTTTCTCCTTATTATTATTTATTTATTTATTTATTTATTTCCTCCTTATTGAATAAATCGAGATTAGTTTCAAAAAAAATAATAAAAATAAAAAATTATTTTATATTCCAAAAGTTGTCAGTTATCTGGTCTTGTCATCTCGATTATTGCTGTCCCTTTGTCTTATCATCTCTATATTAATTACTACCGTTAACTATCTACACCGTACATACGTATTTAATGTCTATACTATATTTTCTGTTTCCTTTGAAATTATTATGTATAAGGTTTTTCGTAAACCATTTTTGTTTTGTGATTGAATTTTTTTCACGTTTTATTGATACGTTGTTTTTTTATAAAAATAAATAATGACTTGAGCCACAAATATATAATAAAATTGTTTTTTTTCTTGTAATTCAACCAGCAAAAATAATATTAATAATAATAACAATAATATTAATTAACAATAATAATAATAATAATAATAATAATAATAATAATAATCATCATCATCATAATCATAATCATAATAATAATCAGTGCCACAGTTTAAAATAATAATAATGAGGCATAGTATTTATTTATCTATTTGTTTATTTCAAATGTGGCTTACACAGCCTTTTGATACCTGGTAATATATTTTAATATATAAAAAATTACATGTGATCGATAAATTCTCTCTCCACAATATCTAATTGAAAATGCCGATATGCAAAGAGAAACAAAAAAAAAAATTGTTTATGTTGTTTTTGTTTTATTCTGTTTGTGTTTGTTTATGTTTGATGGTGGCTATGCTACATGATCTATGCCAAGATTGGATTAGATTGAAATTCACAAAAGGTTAAAAGCATTATTCTCAGCCTTCTTTTAATATCCTTAAAAGAGTTTAAAATTTTTAGATCAGTGGCACCTTTTTTAATTACTTTTTTATCACTTCTACTAACTTTTTAAAGTCTAAGCCATAAAAAAAAATTTTCATAAATTCAAATTTGAAAAAAAAAAATAAAAACAAATAAAACATGTGTTTTATTTTTTTAACTATTTATATTCGCAGATTTTCATCAGAAATTTCTTATTACAGTTATTTGTGGCTTTTTGCTTTTAATTCTGATTTGGATTACAAAAAAACAATAATATTAAGGTAATCGTATATGTATCAACTATGTTACTAACTTTGCCACCCAAAGATTATCAAAATTTCATTGTTCTTTATCATCATCATGAAACGCGTAATAATCATAACAATAATAAATTTCAAATCATAAAAAATAAAAATAGAAATAAAAAAATATAATATTCTGAAACTAATAATTTTCATTGCTAAGCCCCAATTTTTATTTAAAAAAAATCATTTACGACATATATGTATAGATATGTATTTTATGTTTATATTAATTTCACAAAATAAATAAAAAAATTTTTTTTTAATAGTCAAAGATCTGAGAGATTAAATTGATCCTGAATAAATCAGGAATGAATTATATGTGAACTATATGTGAACTATAAGTGTGATGCGTGGGTATTTATTTATAAATTCGGTATCTTAAACTCCGGTTTCAAATTTTATTAAAAATACAGATACATTTGGATATTCGGATTTATCTATTCAAATCCGGATCCAAAAGTAGTTTTTATATAAATATATATAAAACGTAATGTATTTGACGTAAATCTATATGCATACAGCATATTTAACGTATTATATATTTATATAACTCAAATTTATATAACTCATAAATATTTTATAACTTATATTATATTATAGGTTATCGGATTTCTTTTCCTTTTGAATAAAAATAATGTTTAAGTGTGGCTTTATTGATTACTGTAGTTATTAATGTACACAAAGTTTTTTAGTTATAGTTTTATAACAGTTATCGATAAAAAGAGTTTTAGAAAATGATAAAATGATTTAGAGGAAAAAATTTTTTTTAAAAAGAATTTTTATTTTAGAATAATTGTTTACAAATAATAATAATAATAATAATAATAATAATAATAATAATAATAATAATAATAATAATAATAATAATAATAATA